CCTTTTGCAGACAAATTACCAAACAACAAATGGATGGGCGGAACTTACCTGAAAAGAGAGCAAAAAATAGAAAGACAATTAGTGAATAAATCGTGATAAAAAGGAGGTTAACAATAAAAAGTAGAAAAATATTGCAGTCATACATCATAAAAAAGCACGCACATGTATTTTTTTTTTTTTTTTTTGAGAAAATTTTAGCTCTGCAGGTTGGAAAAACTGTGTTTAAAAAGTAGCTCGTAGTAGCTGCAGTCTCCTAACATTAATTTAAATAATGTCACCATGGAGGACAGACGGATAAACAAGAGAAAATTAAATACTAACTCCATAAAGTCACGAAATATGTGCTTAAAAGTAGCTACTCGTAACTGCGCTCTCTTATGAAGTTAAATCATGCCACCACGGAGAGCAGAAAAGAGAACAGAAAAATAAAGAAGAAAATTCAACAAATCAAACTTATAAGCAAGCAAGAGTGTTCTAGTAGGGTGTGCCCGGCTAAGGGATACCCTGAACCTTCGTCTACCAACACCAAATGCAGCCCGCGCTAGGCAGGAGGATCGGTAGCCATAAAAAGAAAGATTACTGATCTAAACGAACTATTGCATGTCAAATTTGCTCACTCCAGCTTTTAAAACATAAAGGATATCATTAAAAAAAGGGATTTAGATATCAATTTTTATCGATTGCTTAAAAACCGACCAAGTTTTTGATTATCGTAATCAAATTCGTACTGTGCAGGCACAAGGATTTAGCTCTTATGGATTCTGGGAGCGAAGCCTTCATAGATACAAACGGCTAGACAGACCGCAGGACAAACAGATGAACATGGCAAAAACGTCTAGCGAAATCACAGTCAAAGTGCATTATAACAAACGCAAATGGTGTAACGTGTAAAGACTTTCACAGAAATAAAACCAATAACAATAAAAGAAGCGATTTCTTCAAATCTCTTTTATAGCAAAAACTTGGCAAGAAAGAAAGTTTGGTAATTCCTAAGAAAACTCAATTTGTGGAAGAATTCATTATAAAGAAGTTCGACTGTAACTCTATAAAAGCAGGAGTACAATCAGGAGCCCAGCTGTTTGTTAAAACTTCCTTTGCCGCTGCCCAACACTTTTTTTGTATGCGTGTTTTTTTTTTCTTGCATAAGTGAGTGCCGTTAGTTAGTGGCAGGAAAAACTTTTAACCAATGTTACGCTTCGTAGAATGCAGCGTCTAAGATAAGAAAAAGAGACGCGACAGCTAACAAAAAAAAATTCTTGCACTTATTGTTGGCTGTTGCTGGGCAAAGTTGCTCAAGATGTTGCGAATGCAGCACAGACAGAATATAGTTGGAAAAGTTCTCTCTTTGCCGCGAGGCAACTCAATGAGTTGTTCTTCTTAAAGGAAGCAGCAGGGAGAAGCAGGCGCTTTAATTAGTCATACATGAGCTTTGCTTATAAATATTTTTTGTTTTTTATGTAAACATAAGCTTACATGCCTAGCTAGGCACGGTTGCATTTTGTGGTGGCAGTTCGATAACTTCGCCAATGATTTTTGCATTTATCGATAACTAGCATTTATGCAATTTAAAATCGAACTTAAATTTATTTGCAGCAGCAATAGTTGTGGTAGGTATATGACGCCTTTGGAACGTTGTATATGGAATGCGAAAATGAGAAACTAACCGATGCCTGCCTGGCATTGGCCATTTTTCTTTTGTTCCTGATTAAAACTGACACAACATGTTTTACATTTTCCTGGGCTACTTGTCAAAACCATTATTCTTTATTTTGTTGCTCTTCTCGGCTTCGGTTCCGTCTAGTTTCTGGGCGATTACATAAGCAAATGCCGTCTGCACGTGCAGCTAATCGACTCCTTAGCTGCCTACCACTCGCTGATTGGTATCCAACTGTGCGCGACGTCGCCAAATGAAGCCTGGCGCCTTGGCCCAGACAGCAAGGGAAGCGCTACCCAACCCCCTATATATAGCCCCTATATATATGTGTATATATATATATATATATTTCTGTAGTACTGGGGTAAGTTGCCGACCAGGTATATCGCATTGCAACAACTGCAAATGACGCAGTAACGTGACGTGTTTCGGGTTTTCGCTTTGTGTTAGGGTGAAAAAGTCAGGCGACCCAGCTTGAAATGGCCTCAAAGGGGGCGAATTGTTGAGGTAGAAATGACAGGGTGTTTCAGGTTTTGCTGCACCGACTGCAGTTTATCACCTTGGGAATGCGGCTAGGCTAACTGACGACGTCGCCGCCGTCATTAGCTATATATAATATATATACCTAGATATATATATATCGAACTTTTTTGTATGTTGCAAAGGCTACTGCACTATTGATTTTTCTTTTTTGTTTGCCTTTTGCCTTTGCTGGGTTTTATTTTAGCAACGCTGGCCATTTGGGAGGCCACTTGATATTAGCATAAGTCAATAAACTGTTGGCAAAAATTACGCCAACTAACATGTGCGGCTTAACAGGACAGAACACCACGGCGAAAATTGTTGGGAAATTGTTTAACCTAATGATGATTACAAAATAATAATGTTTAATGAGTGAAAAGCATTATGGAAATCAAATATGCAGCTTGTAATGTCTATAAAATGATGGTTATTAAATATGCAGAATTGCATGTGATATTAGGTCAGGGCACACAACAAATGAGAGTTAATAGCCCAGGCGCTCGGAAGGTTGATTGAAATTGTTAACTGTTTTGAAAGTACTTTTATTGTAATGAAATACTATTAGTTAATGTTCTAGCATTCGTCGCTCGAATCAAGTATAAATAAATTGTTCTCCCGCCGTCACAAACTTAATATCAGACAACTTTTTTTTATTCCCAGCTTTTTCACTCTCGTCCCTTTCCCAGTTACGTTAAATTAGCAATAGTATTCTGTATTTGCTTTTGTTTTTCCTTGCTCTTTTTCTTTTCATCAATCCCAAGCCGGCGTCACATTCAACAACAACAAAAAATTAGGTTTCTATTCTTAATGGGTCGCTTAAAAGCACCACCTAATCCCCGAGTGTTTGCTCCAGTTCTCACTTCGAGTTCTCGACAGGAGCGCTAGGAACAGACCATCTTATGCCGTTTCCTTCATTAAGCGCCCGTAAGTATGCCTCAACTTCTTTTACATCCTCGTCGCGTCGCCTTGCTTCTTATTATTTGCTTTGCTTTGCTTGACTTGGGGCTTAGTTCTTAGCGCCATATGTGCACAGTCAGCACTTATTTTGAGGCTGGAATTGGGCTGCAGACACGCCCACTTTTTGTGCATTGCATTTCAATTAAAGTTAAGTCAAGTAGAAGAGCATTGAGCGTGTTCAGCTGATGAATACCCTGTAAGCAACACACCTCTAGCACTCTGTACAAGTTACTTGCGTTTGATAGACCCTCTAAAAAGCTTCAAACAACCCAAGAAGAAAATTCCCTGTGAGCAGTTACTCAATTCCTTTATCTTAAGACTGAGATATACTCTTTAATTGGTAATATGACTCTATATAAATCAAATATTACTATTTCAAAAAGCATATATATGTTTAATAATAGGTCTAAAGTCTTACAAAATATATATTACTTCCCATAAAGAACATTTAGAATAATGTATCAACACCATTTGCTTCATATTTTGGCCAGGCTATAGGGTATAGAAACTCTTTCAATCAAAAATATAGACTGCTAAGCTACTTAAGAACAAATTAACACAAAAAAATTCCTACTAGCCTAATATTTACCTAAAAACAGCATACCCTTTATTTTAGCCAGGGTATATAAGCACCTTTTTTCAAAAATATACATGTCTGGTAGAACCTTTTTGTTCCTTAAAACAACATGCCCTTTATATATGCAGGGTATATGAACTCTATATACATGTACCCTATAAAGAAGAACCAACAAAACATTTCTACTAGCCTTATCTTCCCTAAAAGCAGCATACCCTTTATTTTTTTTAAATATTCAAATATTAGACATGAACGAACTTCTATCCTTTGCCTAGCATATCCTTAACTGATTGCGGCATTCTACAGGGTATTTTAATACTTGATCAAGTTGTCTGCAAAAATTTAGATGGAAATCGCTTGGACCACAAATACGGGTACTGTATGCACAGGGTTATTGGTTATCTCCCCTCCCCGCCCTCTTTCCACGCCTCTGTGCAGCCTCTTGTATTCGAGTGCTATTTCATACTGAATGCGGGGCTTTTGTTAACTGTTGCAAATAATAATACACTTCCTTTTTGCACTGCAAGCGGTTACCATTGTTTATTTTTGCTGTTTGTTTGTTTTGTTGCTTTGTTCTTGGGGCTTGCTTGTTCTTCAACTTTTTGACTGCCAGCTGCATAGCTAATTAGCTGCTGTTTATTATTTTTTTCTTTACCTTTTTTTTTTGCCTATTTTGATCTTTGCCATTTTCTTGCCTATTGCAACATTTTATATTTTGAAAGAAATTCAAATGAGCAGCTTTCCACCCTCTGTTTTCGCGGGCTGGAAAAATCGTTTGGGTTTCCCGAGCATTTTACTTTTACTGCCGTCAATAGTTGGACGCATTCAAATTAAAGTTGTTTGAGTAACAAACAAAAGCTCTTAAGTTGTTCAGGAAGCCAACTTTTTTAAGACAAAAGTTCTATTTTGACGTTCAAACTTTTAATAGCATTTTATGGTTACTGATATTAAGCACAAATGAACTACCAAATACTTGATATTCAGTATTTTATTTAGTATGTTTATAAAATCATTTTCATTTTATTTATTATTTTTTTGTAAATTGTGAACACAATAAATTATTATCTAATAAAGCCTTTTCTATTTATATAACCCTTTCATTGATTGTTATTTAGTTTTATATTTAGTATTCTCTAAATGAGTGCTTAAATACAATGTTTTTTTTTCAGAAACGTGAAACTGAAACACGATTCTTTAAAACGGTGCTAAAATGCAGAATGGCACCTTGCAAATATATCGCACTAATAATCGATAATAATAAATATAAAAAAAAAAAAAACAGAAACTTCTGTTGTAACTTCTCTAGTTTCTCCCTAGTCGCAAAAGAAGGGTCTCCCAAATCGCATTCGTGTAGGCAATGAATATGGCAGAGACAAGCACTTGGAGCTGCACATTACCGAAATTTTATACGTTCACACATATTTGGACCATCGAGAACTTTTATTTGGTCTATAATATGTGTGAGAAACTGGAATCGCCGACATTTTTCAGTGCGGATCGCAAATGGAGGCTTTGCATCAATACCAAATACGAAGATGATTTGGTTATGTTCGTATTCACAAATCTGCCAAATGCCAAAGCCGTTGTCACCTGCTCCATACTGGATCGCGAGGAGACGGCCATAGCCATATCTTTGAAAACGGCCTGTGAACGGGCCTTTAAGTTCATGGAGTGTGGTGAACTATTTGATAAATCCAAGGGTTATTTGCCCAATAACAAGCTATCCATATGCTGTAAAATCATAATGCTAAAGGAGACGAAAAGCAGCTGCGGACAGACGAATATGATAAAAGTGCCCGAGTGTCAATTGGCCGAGGATATGGCCAATCTATTCGATAGTAAAAAGTTCAGCGATGTGGCCATTGTTGCCAGCAATGGACGGGAAATAATGGCTCATAAGAGCATACTATCTGGTAGGATATTACATTTTTACTATATATGCATATGTTAGTAGACATATTCGATTTATTTTGCAGCTCGCAGCGATGTTTTTTCGGCCATGTTTAAGCATAAAACCGTGGAGAATGAAGAGAATCGTGTTGTTATAGGCGATTTAAATCATGATATTGTCAAAGAAATGCTCAAATACATGTACACAGGCAAATCAGCCCATTTGGATGTATTCGCCAAGGATTTACTAGTCGCTGCCGACAAATACGCACTCGAGAAGCTAAAAGCGATGTGCGAAAGTTCTCTATATAGCAAACTATGCGTTAATAATGCGGCACAAACTCTTGTCCTTGCCGATATGCACAGTGCAACGCAATTAAAGACACAAACAATTGAATTTATTAAGGCACATGCCAGCAATGTTAAGGCCTCTGCGGGCTGGAAGAGAATCGTACACACTCACGCCAATCTAATTGCTGAGAATTTTCCATAAAATGGGCTACAAAAATCTGCCAGAAAAAAAAAACCCAAAAACAAATGTTTACTTTTTTATATCATTTTGCTCAACTTTTGTTAACACAAATGTATAAAAATATCATCTCTAGTCTGTGCTTGGTTTTTAAATAAAATACGAATACCTAGGATAACTTTGATAAGTGCTCCATTTGAGTCTTGGTCAGGTCTAGTTTTATCGTGTATCCAAATAATTTGGTATATATAATTGACAACTACTAGCAAATCCTTATTGTCAATTTGAGCACATTTAGCTTTGTCAGCTACTTTTTAACCTTTTCAAGGCGACACTTCACAACACTAGTTGATAGTTTTCTTTCAACATTATGTTATTAAGCAGCCCAAGCTAACGTCGGTTGTCAATGGAGTCTTTATAAATTGTTATACAAATAATAAAATGATCTTTGAGAGTCAATTAAAAATTCAACTTATTCATCTTCTATTTTTGTAGTTCCTTTTAACATTGGTTTAAAGTCCTCATATTAACACTATTTTAAAAAGCTGCCAAAAGCAAGAATCTGCCGTCAATTAAGGCTTTTTAAATATTAAAATAAGTAACTAAACAACTTTGAGAGTCAATCAATCATAAATCTAATTCAAATAATTATTGTTAGTAGTTAACATTCGTTGTAGTTACAATTTACAACACTGGCTGACAAAAGTACCAATCGGCTGTCAACTGCGTTTTTGTAAATATTGAAACATTCTTTAAGAGACAATTAGAAAGATAATTTAGCTCTTATTCCTTACAATCTATACACAACAATCAATTGTCTATTTAAAAATGTAGCAACATTTGAAGTAAACCTCGCTGCCTTTTCCACGCGCTTCGCGTGGCACGTAATTGTTGCTTGCCTGAGAGCCACGGAAAGCACATTTCTGATGCCATTATGTTGCCACTCATTAAGACAACAATTATACTTTATTCAGCGACATTCAGGCATATTTAAAGCTATGTAAATATATACATATATATTCATTTATCTAGCTAGAAAAACATTGAAGGCAACAGCGGCTCCAGCCAAGGACATGTTGTCATAATAATGCCATACAACTGGCGACTGGCAAGTTGCAACAAGCGAATGGCAACGACCAGCGGCAACAAAATTTCATTGTTCAGATCATTTTGGATGACGCCGTTGTAAGGCGGATGTGTCTGCGGATGAGAATGCATTAATGCCAGCCAGCAATGGAGGAGGAGAGAAGGTTCACAGAGAGAGAAAGAGCGTCAGGCAGTTGAACATTTCTGTGTTGCCTGTTTATCGCACAACAACAAATTTTAATGTTGCAACTGCAGCTTGCAACAACGTCGGGACGTTGCCATAACAAACGCTAAAAGTGTCAGTGACATTTCAACAACATTTCGCCAACGCCATGCTGGCCATGTGCTCGTCCTGCTACGCAGACAGACTCATGCTTAACCTCCGTTCCAATGCCGCCCCTTGCCCACGCCTTCAAGGCCTCGGCAACAACGTTGCAAGATAATTTTAAACCAGCAAACGAGAATATGTTGCATGCAGCAGCAGGTTTCTAGGTTGGGTAGGGGCAAAGTGAACTAGTGTCTCTGACAGTCGCTTGTTGCCAGTCTGATTAACTATCCAAGCGGCTTAACATAGTCGAGTAAATTATGTCTGAACCGGACGCAGACCAAAAGCGCAGAGCGAAAACTTGGCAGAAGCTTGTAAGTTAGTTTAATTTAGAACTGGCCACTTCCTGGTGACAAGTATTAAGTATTTTGCAGGCATTTTAATTAAGATTATATTACGTTGTAAGGTCTAGTCCAGTATGACTTTTACTCAGCACAGTTGGCTGATCTTAGCTAGATTCTTGTTGACAGCTATACTAAAGCTAACTGCGACTAACTTGGTTAACAGCAATATTTAACAGGCCTTCAATTGCCTTCAAATTTTGCCAAGAATCGGCCAGCAAGTTTATTCTATTACGAACTTTAAAAAGTTCTCCTATATTCTACAAATGTTTCTGGAATCAATAACCCTAGCATTTTCCTATATTCTCCTATTTATTGCCATTTGCAAAAACTTTTGGTGCTGGAGACAAACTTTTGGCCGGCTTATAAATAATGTCCAAAAGGTTGGCACACTTGGCAAAAGGCTCATAAAAATGAAAGCGTGACTTATAAATTACAAATGACATTCTGGGCGATACGTAATTACAATAAAATAAATTCTATTTATCGATTTTCTCTTTCGCAAATTAAGTTTCGGTTTAAGCCACGAGCAGGGCTAAATAATAGGGTTGTATATAAATATCTATAACAATATCTGTATGTCTGTTTGTGATTTGTATTTGTCTATTTCTTGTTGTTATTGTTTGCGTGTTGCTGCTGCTGTGGCCGCTGTTGGTTTTGGTAATTTGGGCACAACTAGCATGGCTAGTTGCCCTTTGGCAAGTGCCAACCAGCCAACCACCCAACCGTCCAGCCAACCAGCCGCCACCCAACCACCCACCAACAGGCCGTTTCCATTTTGCGTGTTCAGTTTTATGAGCGTTCAAATTAGTGCGTTTCCATTGCCATCAACTCCCGTCCTATTGTTGCTAGACTTCCTTTCTCCGTGGCCAATAGCTCGATATGTCAGCTCTTCGTGTTTTGTGTCCACTTCCAGCAAAGATTGTTTTATGGCCAAAGGCTGTTTAGTTTATTAGCCGTCAACATGCAGGTACAGTTGTAACCCTCGCTAGAGAGGCGTTGGGCGTGTTGAATTGCGGCTAATTAAAACTATGCACCCACACATACACAGCCCCCCGTTCCCCCGCTCTTTGTACACGGCACGTCAATTTGGCGCCTCATGTGAGTGGACATTTGTGGCAGCCCTTTGAGTTAAGGTTAAGGTGGTTGCATTCAAGTTGGTGTCCCCTAACGAGCTGCTGACAAGAGCTAATTAGCTGGAGAAACCTGATTGAACTCTGTGTCTCGCTGTTTGTTGCCTGTCCGAAAATTTCGAATACTTGATTAATTAGCTAAAACGTGTTCGATTTAAGAGAAAACCTATTGCTGCTGTAGCAAGACCCTGCTTTACAAATCGAGGCTTTAAGAATATTCCAATATTTTTAAGGTGTGATTATATTTTTAACCAACTGAAATTAAACCTGATTTCAAAGCAGTTTAATGGAGGGATAAGGAATAATAATAATGATGGATTGTAATGCTGTCAAAGCTATAAAGCTAGCTCAGGGAATACGGGTCTTATATATCAGGAAACATGATAATTTTAAAATTTAAATTAAATATAATAAAAATCCAATATACTGATTAAGATAATACAAATAATAGAGCTAAATTAAAAAGAGATTTTTATTTCTTAGAAAATTCAGCTTTTGTCCCACATGCTTATAAAGTGCACTCAATTTCTGAAGCATTCAAAATGATTGCGTAGTGAAGCATAAATCTCTTTAAAAATCGCCTGTCAAGCACAAGCCACAGAAATATGCATAAATATTTTATACAATTTTATGAAAGTAATGCAAGGGACAAGCAAAGGTAGGCATAAATAACTGGACATGGTTTGGGTTTAGAAAAGGATCGAGGACAGGAGAAACGAAAGCAGTTAGAGACAGGGAGGAAGAGAGAGAGAGAGAGAGAGAGAGAGACAAGGACGACACACACTTCACTTTACCAACTGCGCCAAGTGTGAAAATTATGCGTTCAATGAAAATATTTTGCTCGAGCAAAAGCTCTGTCCCTTAAGGGCAGGGGGGACCAAGGGTACTGCGCCAGCTGCTGTAGCTGGCTGTAAGCCTTTTAAATCCTGCCCGTATGCAAAACATGCGCTTGCCGCTAGCCCAGGGCTTAGACAACTGTTTGACCACAATGCAATTTTGTGGTTTACACAGATACAAAGCCACCGCCACTGGCCCCTTGCCGCAAAAAATCTGTTTGAAAAGGGTGGAAATTTTTGGAGCTCACTTGAATGCGCAATCAGCAGGACAGCAGGATATGCTCTTTATATAATGCATGGTAATAATAAAATTGTCAGCTCCACTTGCGCCCACTTAAATCCGCCCGTTGCCATAAATAAAATGTTGCATGCAAATGGGCGCAGCAGCGCCTTTCTATGAATAGAGAGACACACAGCACGCTGCAGCAAGTCCAGAGATAACCAGTTGACCGCATTGTCCAACCGGATCCGTAACCCATCCAGCCGCATCACATAATAATTATTTTTTTTAGGTCAAACTCGCTGCTGGAAAGTGAAAAACCAAATGCCATGGTATTCATACCCATTTCCAATGGCTTTGTACGTGCTTTTCCATCCATCGTCTAAAGTTGGTTTTTGGTTCGGTATTTTATTATCAGTGCCAACAGTTTTGCCCCCAAACCCACATTCACGGACGGAGGATGCATTTGCATCGGTTAAATGAACTTTGGTGTTAAATTTACCAAGCGCGTAATTTAATTTTATTATTATTCGCGATTATTTGTATATAGATACGTTTGAATAAATAATTAAATATGTGTTTAAATATATAAATATATCTTGTTTATCAGAGACACGCATCGCTGAACATTTCAGGGTCCGACTGAATAATTTACTTGCATTGTTTGCTTTACCATTTTAAAGAGTGACAAAAACAAAGCCTGATAATATTGCAAATTTTCGTTTTAATGCCCAGAATCTCAATTTGGTATTTTAGTATCAATTTTTTATTTGGGTACGCAGCTTCAATATTTATAGATATCGAACATTTATTCAGTCAAGTTATCGAAGGCGTTTACATATCAGGGAAACTATCTCTCAACTGGATCAATTTGATTACGTTTAACGCCGAAGTTTCAATCAAATTAGAAACAAATCAAGTTAGAGCCCAAACAGTTGACCAGAAATCAATGTTGCCTTCAGGACAATTTGCTACAAGGAAAAACACAATATACAACTAAATTATGGACGAGCCCTGTGGACCTTGTCTATGCACATATATATGTATATATATCTATTTATCATTAGGAAGCTGCTTTTGCCATTAGCATAAATAATACGCATTATTATTATCGTA